AGAGGTCTTCCAAAAACTCAGAAAGTACCGGATCAATGGTAAATATTAGGAAGAGAGTTAAAAGAAGAAAAATATAACAAAAAGAGGGACTATCAAATGCTCTTTTATAGTTAAAGTGTTTTAAACATTCAAAGCTTTATTTCTGATTTTCTGATTTCAACGGTAAAAAATAGTCTTTTTAACACACGTTCACACAAAGCGGAAAATGCATGTTTCTTATTTCTCTTTTGTTATACCATCCTTTATACTTTATGAAATGATCCGGTATATTAAAAATGTCATGGAGCCTAAACTTGATGTCTTTTGAAACCATCCATTGTAGGTGTGGTCTATTTGTCAATCCTTGAACATAAAGTACATTAACATATGACATGATAAAGCACTAGAAAGCAACTTTGTATTAGCGAGTCTAAATACAGGTTGAGCTCATGGTAACCAAAAAACAGGACTCAAAATATCCACTGTTAATGTGTATGCATGCAACTACAAGTAAAACAATATAAACTGGAGTTATGTTAGTTGTCAATGTGGACATTGCTAGTTATTGCCATAGACACTTAGTGTAGGATTTCACGTTTATTGTCAACTGTCTGCTACTGGAACCACATGTGTTTGCTGACAGTACAGGAATCAATGTGCTTTGCTAGTATAATTGTGGACATTGTCTGCCAGCTGAAAGTAGGATGACCTTTAATAGCAAACAGACTGGCAATTATGAGAGTTTTAGCATTTAGAAAGCTCAAACAATGGCAAACAGAAAGATACAAACATCAAGTTAAGATGTTTCTTAGTTACCAGAGAGCACTAACAGCATTTGTGAGAGCCTCACGAAGCATCTTTGTTAAGTCATTGTTAGTGTGTGCTGGAGGCACCATTCAGTTATTCCTCTAACCACATACAGTTGAAAAAGAGACCAGATTCAGGGCCTAATATTTACATTGCATGCCGCACTAATGTTTTATGTATTTTAATTTAAAAAGAAACTAGGTGTTATCACCAGCGAATTATGATAAAACAGTGAAGGAAGATGAAGAACATAGGAATCATGAAAATTAAATATCAATTCATTTCACGAGTTTATCGTTATTCCTATATATTTTTTGTATTAATTGGCATTAACCTACACCCTAAAACCAAATCACTTTCTTCCTTATACTGTAAGGCGTGGAGATATAAATGCTTAAGATTCACATGGAAAACAACAAATAAAAATTGAAGATTTCTGAACATACTTAAGTTAAAGTTTTATCTAAAACGAATAAGCCTATTATTAACTCTAGATGTCAAATACAGATACTCTTTAGAAACAATATTTACAGTTAGGGTAAAGTATCAGAGACTGGACAATGCTGTGTTTACAGTACATTTCTTAAAGATGACGCCTTCTTTCCAAGTACAATTAATTACAGTGAGAATTTTTTACATTTGTATTTCTTAAAACAGAAAATTCACAGTGGTTTGAAATTTCATACTCATTCTTTAACTTTGGTTGGCTTTTTTGTATTGTGTTTTACAAGTTTCAAGTGAAAGGGTTTAGTATCTATACAGATACTAGACCAAAGTAAATCATATGTTGTGAAGTTTTATGACATGCTGAGCACTGATCTGACTGCTACTGTATGTCTCCTTTCTTAAAAATAGATGCATTATATGCATATACTGGTGTAATTGGAAAACACATACTCCATATGTTTATATTTACATTTGTCAAAAATTTCACTCTATATATTTCTATATATTTTGATACAATGATCTTCATCTTAAAATAAAAATGAAGGTTTTATCCTACAATCTTTGTAAAATACAGATTATTAAAGCAGTAATGCTAAAAACTGTAAAGGTCTTTTGGTAATAAATAAATAATAATTTAGGTAAATGAGTGTAATGTCTCCTGTGGCTTCTTAAGTCTTCACTGAGAAACTACATTTTTATATTAACATTAAATATTTCAGCAAACACAACCAACATGTGTAAATGTTTGTTTGTTTTTTAATTGTAAATGAAAAAGGTCAGCTCATTCTGTTTTCTGTTTGGGAACACCTTGTAATGAAGATTTTTCAGACTTGTTCACTCACACTGTCATTGAAGATGAGATTTCAAATTGATCTCACCACACATAAGTGGTTTTACTTACATCTATTTGCTTGGTCACTGCTGAAGAAGCAGATAATAATATAACTATTTGACAATAATTTAGTTGTTCAGATAGAGGAGTATCAGATGTATAACCACATTTTGAGACATAGGATAATAATATTGGACAAAGTTTAAGGTTTTTATATGATAGTAACAAAATAGTTTTTTACTTACTTGAAGAGTACAGAAAAGTTATATTTGGTAGGAGCTAGCATGTAAATGAGGAAAGAAGTTCTGTGACAAAAATAAAGGAAGCGGTTCATTTTACTGTGCTGTACTGGGTTCATGCAGAATGGCATCTCAATGGAGACATCTTTCCCTTTTTTGTGTTTACTCAATGGTTTGAGACAACGGTAGTCTATTGATGCTTTCAAATTGGCCAGACAATGATCAATTGTTAACAGGTTTAATCTGACCACAGCTTGAACCAGATCTGTAGTGCATTAATTTATTCAGTATGCTTAGTCACTACATTTGATAAACTCCCCTTTCTTCTTGGAAGTAATAAAACCTTTCCATTCCCATGGATCTGTACTTCTCAAACACTGGAAGTCAAGAGCAGAGGGGAATTTCTTTAGTATTTTTCTCAGTTACCTCTAGCAGTTAGGAATCCGTCTGACATTACCTGCTTAAGAAGTAAGGAAAATGTTAGAACAAAAAACACGATACTGTTGCTGTAAATAAACTGTTCTCTTTCAAGACTTGATGGTTAGGTTAAAGTCAGATCAGGAACTGGATCAGGGAATTTGATTTTTATCTGCACTGTAAAGGACAGAGATATTGTATTACAGTTTGCTGCAAATGATGTCAATTCAAATTAAAAATGGTTATTGTTTATATAAAAATAACCCCCCAAAATCATAAGAATTTAAGAGCTTACCCCAAAAAATCAAAACAATTTAAGAGCTTTTCACTATTATTGGAAGAAAATGCATGCAAGGCCTGGCCTTCTTTACCGATTGTTTTTCCAAAAGAATTTGAGATTCTTTGTTCACCATCTTTGTTCGTATCATTCACCAGAGAGAGGTTACACACAGCTTGGCTCAGAAACCAAGAGAAACATTTCACTCAATACAGATATAAAAATGCACTGTCATGCTGAATTCTTATTTACTTGATGAAACATTGACCTAATGTTTTGGCACACTGATTTTTTTTTAATGTCTTTTACATCAGTAAGAATTAAACCAGTAAGAATCCTCCACATTAGTTTTTTTGTCATATACTGTATACAGTATGATACAGTATATGGATATGTAAAGGAAAATATAGTGTATATGTATAAACATACATCTCCATTTAAGGTGAAAAAATTTGTAGAACATGGGTATAGATTGTGATAGAACCTTCCCTGTCCAATCTGGACCTAGTGTAGATTTTCTTCTTATTTTCTGAGGAAATTCAAGTACTGATGTTAATCCTTATCTGGTCAGCAGACATAGCTTCATTAAGTCGTCAGCAAAATGTTTTGTTCAGGGCAATGAATGGTCATAAAAGAAGTTAGTTTAATAATTAACACTACACATGAAAAAAAGTGTAACTATAGTCTGTCTGCTGATTGGGGTAAAGAAGCAACCCAAACTATTTTTAGTTCATTAAGAAGTTGCTAAGTTGACTAAGGACTTGATGGCATGATCTTGTGAAATGAAGACCAGTTCCAGAAATATTTATATGTCAGCCAAATGGCTGGACATCTTAAATTTTTTATTGAGCTTGAGTTAAAAAATCATTAATGTTATAAAGCGATAAATCAAATTTTGTTTCAGCTACCCACATTAAAATAACAATGATAATGATTATTATTTTAAAAAAGCTGAGACTTCACAGAAGAGTTTCCTTATTGAATGCTGTTAAACTGTGTCTTGGACAATAAACATACAGCAAGGCTTGCAATAGAAAGTATATAACAAAGGAAAGAGTTCACTCCAGTGCATTAGGCACAGCACAGACTTTTAATAGTTCAGTTGTTTTTGGACAGCAGAAGCTCTCTTACTGCCACACTATATGAATAATTGATTCTCTGCAGAATATTCTTAAGAATTCGTACACCTGCATTTTGTAATACAATTTTGTAATACAGTAGTGTGCAATCGCCATACACCTGTGCTGGCAGTACTGTGGACAGATGACGCACGATGAAGCACAATTTGCATTTCTCAAATAAGAATCACTTATCTTGAATACCAGCTGCTTATCAGTGCTAACATGCTTTTATGTGTCACATAATGCTGCATAAAACTACATTCACCAAACGTTCCTATTAATTGTATGAAGTGATTATGTTAAATTGCTTCTTTTTTGAATGTTTTGTTGAAGATCTACCTTGTATATTTAATGTTTGCTAACTTCACATTTTAAGCCTGCCTCCTGGGAACTGATTTTGTAGATGAGAAAACTGGTTTGTTTAAGAAACCTTTACTTTTGCTTTATGAAAGAAGTCAGGTTCTGCAACCTTTCACTGCAGGCATACACCAAGAATGCATATTTATCTTCATTTTGTGAAACACTTTACACATTAGAGATGTCTAGAAAGTTTTTTTTCCATCAAGATAGAAAACAGTTCTATGTGGTACTGACAAAAGCAGGTTAGACAGGTTCTACAATATGCTTTTTGTCCATAACTTACAAAGCAAAATGCCTGGTTTGTAACTGATTTGCATTGCAAAACCTCTTCTGGAAATCATTTAATGTGGTGATTATTAATAGAGTTCCATGCCTTTTACTGTACATAAAATATATGATGACAACTGGTTACTTAGCCTGCTAAAGATGTCTGTCACTATCAATAAAATTTTCACATAACATTGAGTTACAGTCCCACGATTATGAAGAAAAAAATGTCTTCATAATAAGACCACACGTAAAAGTATTTATTTCTATTTTATTTAAAGTTCAAGAAACATTCATACTTGTAGCAAAACTACACATTTTTCTTAGAAACTGTAATGATTCTAAGAAAAAAAAAGCATAATTTAAACAAGACAAACATCATTCTCACAAGATTATTACAGAAGTGTCTTAACTTGATAGCAACCTGTTCATTGAATTCTCTAGTTTTTACCATTTACATTCATGGTTTTAAATGATATAAAAGATTAGCATTATACTACCCTTCACATTGCTTAACACTATGACAGCTATCAAGTGAACAACACATACTGCTCTAACCTAAAGATACAATAGGTTTATAACATTAACCAAAGTGAACATACTGTACTTAGTGATTCATAATAAATAAAGATAAGCATACTCTGCTAATTAACACAGTTACAGATCAGACATTAATAGTTATCTATACAGATGCATATTGTTCAACCACCCTTCACCATAAGGGAAAGTAAAAAACAGAAATAGAAATAACTTTACACTTATGGAAACTTTATACTTTGATCTTTTGTGTTCGTCCATTTTTCAGTTTATTTACAGAGAAGTTAAAAGAGACAAGCATAAGAAGATCTCTCAGTTTGGCTGCTTTTAAAATATTGCAGAATTACTTCAGTCCATCAAGTTCAGCAACCAAGGGTAGCAATCAATAATTTACAGTAAATTCTTATTCACAGTGTTTAATGCAGTTTCAGACATGTTGAGACTTACACAGTCAATATTGCTCTGGGCATTGCAAGATTATGTAAAGTTGTAGTGACTATAAAGCGTTATATAAAGACAGAATGTATTTTGATCAGCGTTTGGGCTCATGTGCAACCCTGTACTACATTAAAGACAAAACATACTCCAAGTGTTTGTGTTTACACATACTGTATCTACATGAGAAGTGCTGAATTTCACGATGCACAATATCAAACCTTCCCGTTACTTTGAAATTCTTATTCTTACAGAAAGCAGAAAATTGGATTTAGTCATTCCTCTTTATATAGTTACAGTCAATTTATAGATAGATTCCAATTATATTGGATACAGTCAGAACAAACAGGTGTGATTAATATTTATTCAGTTTCTTTTTTCCGAATTGATAGTTGAGTCAACATGAGAGCTGCCTATGTGCAAACTTCAGTGCATCTTTCAGAAACAAATGCCTTAATATGGTTTCAACACAGGATAGTGATGGGAAGAAACAGCCGAGAATGGTTGGACTACTGGGAAACCTCTACTGCTGCCAAGTGCCAATTCTGCCGAGACAACTCGAATAAAACATGTTCAGTCCTTCCTTGACAGCGAAAAGATAGAAATGAAAGTTGTGATCTGCTGGCAATCTTCCGCGGAAGAAATTATTTCTTTAAAAAAACACAACAACTCATGCTCTAGAAGTCCGCTGCTGTCGAAAGTCAGTTCATCAAGGCAACAGTACTTTTGTGTTGGCCTCCAAAGAAGCCAGAGAAAAACTCCAGGGCCAGACGGACGTGGATTGGAATGAAGACGTAAGAAGTGTAAACCACCATTGCGATCATCGTGAATAAAACAGTATTGAAGATCGACTGTTCCCAAGGTTCCAACACATAGATTCCGGTGATCAGCAGGTACTGGTAATAAAGCCAGCAGATATATTCCTTCAGGCTCTTCACATCCATCGGGCCACTTTGAAATGGACAGGGTAGCCACACTAGAGGCACAAGAGACACACAAACACACAAATACACAAATATATCAATTGCATGAGCTGTTAGATCTGGTCCTTGGGGGCTATGACATTTTTTTTTTCATTCCATCTCAGATCTTCATTACTACATCGATCTCATGGCTTGATTTATGGAAATCTATAAAAAAAATACCAGTGTGTGTAACTCTACCCCTTGAGCTGGAAATTATAAATCCACTGACTGGAGGTCCTCGGCTACACAATTGAACGCTGTACTGACTTAATAATAGGTTTAATTTGAACTATTTGATTTTTCACCATGGTGGAGGTTGCCTTTTAACTATTAACTTTAGAAAAAACACTATTCAAAACTTGTGAGTAGACTAAACAAACTTGTAAATGTGCCAGTCAAGCAGCTCTTCGGTCCAATTAGGGGCTCAATGAAACGAAGAGCTCAGATGGAATGAAACCCTGTATGTGTCCAGACTGTTGAGGGCCATCAGGTCTTCTAGCTCTTCTTCCATATGAGCTTTAATTTGCTTAATTAAGCCAATTACTTGATTCTACCATTTCCCCAGGTCAGGGTTATTTAGTTATTTTTGACACACAGGCCCCAGATTAAAAGAAAACAAGTTAAACACACAGCACTTTATGATCGCTTTTTTCTTTGCCAGAGGCTCCTCTGTCTTGTATTCTTTCTTGCTGGTTGTACATTAATTTGCAGTGTTTTTTCCTGTACTGGCCACAGAACCTCTGCTGGTTTGCAGCTCATATAGACTGGGATTGACCCACCCTGTTTTAGAGGGGATCATTTTGAGGATTTAGATGGATTATTTTAAACTGTTAGAAGAATTATACTGTTAGAGGAATTATTTTAAACTCTTAGGAGAATTATACTGAGGTTTGGTTCTGTACTGTGTCACCAATGGGTACAGGTTCATCTAATAAGATTCATAATGGCCTAGCTGATGACTGATAACTAAGTTTTCTAGAATAATGAGGTCACCCATTAGGGAGAACAGTTGTTTCTTTAGTTTGTTTTTTTACTCACACCTGGGACGAAAATAATTAAAAGCTTTCTGAATGAGGAACCAGGTGTTTCAAAAATTGATTTTACAATGTCCCATGACTCACTGACAGATTTACGCTTCATTTATTAATGCATAAAAAAAGTAAAAATGAAAGAGTTTGTGGTATAGATGATATAAAAGATAATAGTTGTCAAACTGCCACTAAAACACTTGAAAAACTGGAAACGAGCACATTTGACATTTCGTTGTAACGGAACATCACATACAGTATATCGTGCCTGCTTGTAGGCAGTGTTGCAAGAAGGCCGGTGCGTGCACTTGTATCCTGATGTCACCCTGTGCCCTGCTACCCCTGTTTGTTACAGTTGCAGGCTCTTCAGAAACCACCTTCACAGAACCAGCCCACAGAAGCAGCAGGAAAGTAGCCACAAGTGAATATGGAAAAGTGGCCATTCTGCACCTCCAGCCTGGGATGCTAATATCGATGGGTAAAGAGGATGTGAGTTCTTCTTTAGAAACCGTCTTTAATCTTGAGTACAATAATATGAAACACGTTCCCCCTTGAGCTTTTAACACACTTTTGTCCAGCGTCAGAGCCTGTGCAGATTTCTGCTTCAAATGTAGCGGAGGACTGCGCTTTCGAAAATACGGCAGCGTGACACATGAGATTGCACGCAAACTGCCTCCGCCACCTGGCAGCGATTCGCTGTTGTTGTTTCTTAGCAATTATTTCATCGGCTCGAATTAAAAGGGGGAGCTGCACGGCAAAGGAAAGAGACCGGCAAGGGATTCTTGTAATGCGAAACTCGCACACTTTCCAATCTTGTAACAGTAGATTGGACAAATCCATTAACTTGGCAGACATGAACGAAACTTTGTGCTCTTCGTGATCCTTTGAGGGTGAAAAAAAGTGCTATATCAATCATTATTTTTGACTGTATGTTTAATTTGCCTGTATATATTTTGTATGCATTATTATTTTTAAATGTATATGCAGGCCATTTGTGCTGTAATGTTTATTCCGTAGCCTTTGGAATACGAAGCCTTTTCCAGCACTAGGCAGTGCCCCAGGGCTAAGTGTGCAGCACCTTTTGTTAACTAGGAATCCCAGGGTAACCAGAGAAGTGCCACGCAGAAATCTCCCGAGTCTGCCCTGGTGTTCTACAATACTCTAATAAGACACGAGGGGGGCTAGGTGTTACATCCCAGCAGGCAGACTTGATCAAATAAGCCACTCGATGACAGTTTCCCTTTCATTTTAAACAGGCCAGACATAAATAAAAGTTCAGGTTTAGGGAATCTTTCACTGAATTCCCACCCTCTGGGGGCTAGCTGTACTTTTGACATACAGTACAGTTGCTTCAGTAAAATCCCCCCCGTTTGCTTACAAATTGAGCCTAACAACCTTTCCAGCTGTAATTTAGGAAAACGCACGAACAGCATTAACAAATCATACTGTAACTATCTGGCGCACATTGGTAAGCCGCCTTTATTATTATTATTTATAGAGTATAATTAAATACTTTACTGTATATGTGGGAGAATCAACAGTATGTTTCTGACATGACACTGCTTGCTTAGTAGTGTACAGTTGTGCAAAGTGGCACCAAACCACTCATGAAAGTCGACAGGACAAAGCAAATTGGGCAACCCGTAGATAACCCCGGTAAACTCGTCTTTTTATTAGAATAAAAAATATAAATATGCATAATAAAATGGTTACTTGTCTGCCTAATTTGGATGAGGAAAGGTAATGTATTAATTGGAGAAATAATTATGATACATTGTCGAGAAGTACAGTATGACACGTTTTCTAACTTATACGTGTGGGTCCAGACGGGACAGCAGTCGTCAGAGCCCAGCTGAATTGTTAAGACTTCAATGGAACACAACACAATGACTAAATAAGTGATATAAATACGGATATTAAAGGACAGATATTAATCCAGACACGTTCAAAATTTGTCTGAACGTGTTAAGGCGAGCCTTCTCTGAAACTCGTTGTAAATGTAAATTGATGTCTCATTTACACATTGTTCACTGAGCAAGTGAACAATGTGTAATGCCAAACCCTGTGACATTAATTCTGGTTGATCTGTAACAGAAGAGAACAGCACAGATGTAATACGTTTAAATGGAAATATTTTCTTAGCGATAGGGGTAAAATTTAAAACCCAGATTCAAGACCGGGTGGCTGTATTTGAACTGTATTCAAAGACATTCTTGGTCAAAGTCACCCCCTCCTCATTCAATTCTGTCAGTGTGTTAAAATGGGGAAAAGTATTCACATTTTCCAAGTGTATCATTAAAAAAACACACATATTTATATATATTTGGGACAAATACTTTCACTTAAGCGTTACCCCGAGACCAAAGCCAATAAACAAAGTGATTAATTACAGTTTTTTAAAAAACGATAGCAAGAAATATCACACTCACCTATATCACCTTCCTTTTAACTCTACTGTTAGTGGGTAAGGTTTATTGCAAGACGCCGAAGCGAACTGACAGAATTCCACCAGTGTGCCACTGCTTTATGGAATCTAAAAGCTGCCCTACCTGTTCACCATCCACCAGGTACCTTTCTTTTACCACACCCACTATTCATGTTTACACTCACCTGTGCGTTAGATGGGTGTACAGTACTGTATGTTTAAAGCACACGGAAAAGATTACAGATGAAGCCCCGCGCGCCTCGTCCCAACACAGGCTGAGTACAAAACAAACTAAAAAAAAAAGCTTGTTTGAAGCAGTGTTTGCTTTTCCGAAAACCGTCACTTCCACATTGATACAATTGGGACGTGCAACGAAATTACTGAACTTTCTGTCTTTCCCTCTGTAATATCCTCATAACAGCCTGCCATCACACTGATGATGCACCGCAGTCATGCGGACCCTGGAGTCCGTCTGCAGTATTTCAGCAGAGGAAACGCTGTAACAGCATAAGTATCACTTTTCTTCTAATTTAAAGATGCTGCAAAATTTGGCACAAGCGTCAAATATAAATATGCAAGCGATGCTAGAAAAATGCATGTGTATACAACGACAACCGAGACAACCCCCCCATCCCCAGTCATCTGGCGACACACGCAATGGCGTAGGCTGCAAGGACCGCAAAGAGACACTACAAAGTCAGCCGGACATTTGACATTTACGTTTTGAAAAACGTTCCTGATCCGTTATGTCATAGACCATGCAGTTCCGCGGCAGACCGAAAATAGGTATCGCAGAAACAGCATGAGATAAAGGTGGTTGTTTTCCCCCTTACTGCAGCAGAATTATAGTACAGTACCGAGTTCAGTTCCCCTTAGAAATCAGCATCTCACTCCAGTCATTTCACGGGCTCCGCTGGCTGTCGAGGCGCGTTCACGGTGTTGCTTGAAACGCAGCAATTTCGGAGGTGAACGCGCAGACGATGTCGATAGTCTGGACAAGGACAGTAGACTTAAGTATCTAGAGGGTGCATACAGCTCCAAACTCATCTATTGGCGGCAGTATCTTTTTAAAAAAATACTTTTACACATTAAAACGTAAAGGGTTTAATTAAAATTTACAACAGAGCTAATGCAAACATACAGTAGCTTGTAGTGACAGTATTTTTGAAGACGGTCGAGTACGGAGCTGAGTCAGCATGCGTAGGCTGCAAAGAAACAGCTAAAGGTTTATTCTTCGCTGAAAGGAACAGAAAGGAAACACTAAGTTTCGGCTTTGGAGCCTTCTTCAGGTGGTAATATTTTAGTCGTTAAGAGTTAACAGCCATCAAAGCACACATGCTTGCTGGTGGGATCCAAGATGCTGTCTTGTCAGACGGTGATTAATTACTTCAGTAAACCTGTCTGCCTGGTGATACTAAGGTTTGAATTGTAGTGCAAGCAGCGTTTTATTACTATTTGTTATTATCACATGCGTTTTCTCCTAAGCTAAAACTGGCTGAGATGTCAAGGTAATATGAGATGGCTGATATACGGTAAAACTGTGTTCTTCTGCGCTCTTTAGGTATAATGTTACTATGCCGTGCCCACATATTATAGTGTAAAGTGGGCACGAATTATAATGAATTGGGGTTCTTGAACACTCGCCCCTACCGCCACAATTCGTCCTTCACCGCACGGGCTCCAACCCGAAGTCAGAAAAACAGCATTCTTAGCTTTCAGCTCAGTTTTGGCCAAGGACAAGCTGCAGACCTCTACTGAAATAATTGTGGACAGTCAGTGCAGTGTGAAATGGCAATAGAGCAGAATAAGTGTTTTCATAAAAGCACACTGCTGGACACTGTACTCCTCTGAATATTATGCCTTCATTATTACTGGGGTATCAACAAGGGTATTAAATTCAACAAGATGACGGGTGGGTAACCTGTTCCAGACACCAAGAACCCTTTGTGTTAAGAAGTGCCTCGGTTTTCGATCTTAAAAACACCCCCCTGCAGTTATCGCTTGTCTCTATTCTATTCTGGAGAAGTCCATTAGGCTGACTTTGTCAAAGCTATTAAGGTTTTTGCCTGTTTGAATCAGTTGTCCTTGTCCTCCTCTCTTTTCAAGCCTTCAAGAAGAGAATATAAAAGTCAACAGTGGAGTGTATGGCATACTGTAATGTCACCTACTGTACACACACTGTCTTGAAATTGTATTGTTATTTCTGTATTCCATAATTGTTGTGATGAAGTTAACACGTTTTTTTTTTTGAGAGAGATATAGACTATGCCTTTAAGAGACCTACTGTAGGTAGTGTAAATCCAATAAGACCATACAGTATAATGATATATAATATATTTGCACGTAGCTCAGATACAGAGAGGGAAGTGTATGGCAGGGTGAAGTTTGGCCCTTAATGTGAAATGCTAATCTAGTCTGACAGTGTGTCCCTGGGATGTGGCTATAAAGGAGCTTTGCCCAGACTGCTGGTGAGATTTTAACCTGTTTGCCATTCTTTGCAAGGTAACATTTCCAGACACATAAAATGGTATGCCTGCCCCCCAGAAGATGTAATTCCTGAAGTCTTTCTGCCCTCGTGGTGGATTTACTGTTGGACTGATGAATTTGTACAGAGAAAGAAAAACTTTTTTTAGGGGTGCCTTCCTGTTTCTTAGAATACAATCTGTGCTGCAGCTCGGTTAGGCCAGTCAATCCAGTCCACACTTCAGGTATATGTGTTATATGGATAGATAGATAAGACTTTATTGATCCCAAAGGGAAATTGAGGTGTTACAGCAGCCCAGCCCAAGACAAGCAAAAACAGACATCAGAATAGACTACAAATTAAAATAAGTACAGCAATACAAACTAAAATAAAGTTAGGTGTGCAAAATATGCTAATAGTCACTGTAAAACAATACAGTATATACAGATTGAAAGTAGCACAGTATAAACAGTATATTAATGCAGTGTCCAAAAAGTTCATGCATGCAACATGCTGTCCATAGATGAGCAGATGAAGGGCTAGCAGTCCTAGCCTAGGGCAGTGTTATACACCCTGACAGCCACCAGGAGGAAGGATCTGCGGAAACGTTGCCTTGAACACCGTAGCTGGAGCAGTCTGTTACTAAAAGTGCTCCGCTGCCTAATAACAGTCCCATGTGGCAGATGAGAGGCGGTGTTCATGATGTATTGTATTGCTTATGGTACACAGTACGTACAACATGTTATGTATTGCTTACGCCAGGAACAGTAAAAACCTTCCCTGGCTGGAGGTTCAAAATGGTATCTGTGTTTGCAAGCACTGCAGGAAGAGAATCAAATAGCTCCGGGCTCCTTCATATTGTCGGTCTGCAGCCTGCCTTGCTCAGAGTGCCCAGTGAAACTGGACAGAGACCACCAATGGTTTTTGTATTCACCAGTTACTTAATCTAATTAGCTAGAAAATGAAAACTTCATGTTTGTGGTTTTCAGCTAATTTCCTGCTACTCTGAAACATAATACGGATAAGGCTGTATATACAGTATATATAAATTCAGCACATCTGCAAATCTTTCACTTTACTAATTAATATTTCAGTTAGACTACAGCTGAACAGGCATTTGCTTAAAAATAGCAGCACCGGCAATGCTCAGCAGGCGATCTGTTGAGGGGAAGTCCCACATCAGTATTTTTCTTATTCAGTTTTTATGGCAGATCTAGAATCCTTAAAGACCTGAATACATCTTAAAATGTATAGGTATTCATACACCACCACCCATAAAATCAGATGGGTAATAATGGTGTTTGTAACGGAAGTCTGCTGGGGGGGGTGGTGACAACAGCCAAGTTCAATCACACTCAGTTGCCATCATTTCCTCACCTAAAACATTATACAGACTGTACGTGATCCCCTTCTCTCCCTCACATACTGTATATTTTTCTCCCATCTCAACTTTTGCACTTACCTCTTGGTCACTCCTCAGTCTGCATATGGGACTCCCAGGCTCCTCTCCTTATGGCCAGGAGGTTAGCCCTCAGCCTAGCAGTGTAAGACATTTTTTTTAAATTAAGCACTCCATAATCCTTTTATTAGCATTAATTATTGGGTATCGTTATTTCTAGTGAAATGTATATAAATCAGTTACCTACAGCAGACTGTGAGAGTTGTTAGAATACGCTTTTGCACGTTGTGTACAGTATATGCTTTTGTATTGTCGTGGAATGTGTGTTTTTTCTCATTAGCTTGAATATTTGTGATCCATTCCTGCAGAAAAGTGAGACGATGTTGGCTGACGATCCTGGTCACTTGGAACTGGAACAGAGTTTCAGAGGTGGTGAATGTGACTTAGGGGTTACAAGACGTGTCTGTGAATTCTACTGTGCAATTGGAAATGAAACTTTGTCTTTATTCTTTACTCTTTGTGTCATTTTCTCTTATTGGTGAAAGTTCAACATTGCTTTTATGTTGAACACAGAACTGGAAACAACAGAACTGGAATTGACATAAGAACATAAGGAAGATTAGAAGGAGAGGAGGCCACTTGTTACTCATGTATCCACTGACTAACCATAAAATGTATTGCATTTAGCTTTGTGTTTCTGATTGTTGTGCACAAATTGTCCATAGTGTCTTTGAAAGCATCAGTGCTTTCAGACTTGCAAAACATTGTCATGGATGCCTTAGAAACTAAAATGACTTTCAGAGGGCAGTTCTTCATGTACAGTATACTGTACCTGCCATCTTCATTGTGAACGACAACATATAAACAATGTAAAGAAGTACTGCATATTGGAACTTGTAGAAGCTCTGTGTTTGAGATGATTAATTCAGTGGAAATACATTTTTATACTTACAAAATATTAGTGGGGGGTCCTGAGATGGAGCCATCCATCCATTTTCTAAACGCTTTATCTATTAAAAGGGTGGAGCAGCCAGATGCCTATCCCAGCAAGCAACGGGTGTGAGGCGGGATACACCCTGGATGGGAGGCCAGTGCATCACAGGGCACACACACAGACCCAAACACACACACTCACACCAGGGCAAATTTTCCCAATTAACCTGAGACAGGTCCTAATTTTGGGAATCTCTGACATTGTAAATGTTCTATTGGACAAAGTCATGTTTCAACCTTAACCTAAAAAAATATTTTCTTTTAGGTGATAAACATTACTTATAATGACAAAGGGCTGGCAATTTACTCAGTTAACTTGTATATAAAATTCAGTGCAGAAACATAAATGATTTACCAGTCTGATTTGTTTTATATGATAGAATGAAATATCTGCTCTGGTTACGAACAATGTTGTACAGATACTAGTGAATCTCTTTTTTGTACAAGCCTGCCACCTGGCGATTACTGACAAAAAGTCAGTTTGTGCTGATCTTTTTCACAGAGAGTAAATACTGTAGTTCTTGTTTGAACCATTAGTGTTTCTAACACCTCTAAACAGATACTTCCATGTCTTCTTGACATTGTTACAGTTAAATATAACAATGGTCATATCCAAGCATGCCCAACCAACTTTATAAAAATCCCTAGAAGTTTACATATATAAGAACCTGTTTGGTTCTGTCAGCCCGTATCAGAGACAGACACTGCTCATTTAAACAAATGGGATCATTCATTAAAGCCAGGGAGGGAAGTTAAGAAGCTACAAGTACATAACTTAAAAGTACTCATGTGAACCGTGTAAGGTTTCAGGGTCAAACCTTAGAATTGTAAATCATTTTAAGGTCCATTATGAAAGTTCGTGGAGCATTAAAGCATAAAGGATGGACCCACCCTTTGAAAAACATAAATGTTACAATTACACAGCAAGCAGGGCTACCAGATCTCTATACTGATTAATGAAGACGCATCTCTAAACAGGACATTTGGTCTTCGACTGGAAAGTGGATGATCATCTGAATATCCTTCAGGTAACATTAATTTTTTTTTTTACCTGAGTGGAGGGGTTACTGGATGTGTATCAAGTGTTGCAGTAACTATTATGAGGGTGAATTTAAATTAAAGCTTCATTTCCAAGTTTCCTCCATCTGGTTTGTCAGCCACACTGTTTGAAAAGAAGG